AGTGCTGACATGGCTTTGTTACTGGCCTTCAGGCAGTGGTAGGTAGGCTTCAGCGAGCTAGCCAGCCAAACTCCCAGGTCTTTCTCCACATCTGTTTCTATAAGCTCCAATGCCTCTCCATTTGGTTGTTTCAGATAGGTAATACTTTTCTCTGGGATTTCTGGTGCCAAAATGCATTGCTTTACATTTCATTGCATTGAACTGTAAGAGCCACTTCTTGGACCAGCAGGCTAGTGTGTCACTGTCCAGGTCAGATTGGAGCACTTCTGCATCTTTCTTGCTTGACACCAGTCGATACAGCTTTGTGTCATCAGCATATAGTTTCATTGTGCTGCGGACAAGTCTTGGCAGTTCATTGACGAACAGTATAAACAATACTGGGCCTAAAACCGATCCCTGTGGCACTCCACTGCTGACACTGATGCTGTCCGACAGCTTCCCGTTTACTGACACCCGTTGTGTTCTGTTTCTCAAGAACTCGCCGGTCCCGTAGCTCAGTTGGTAGAGCGTTGGACTCCGCGTGGTGAGAGCACGTGTTCCCGGTTATAACAGTCCGGGTTCGAAGCGCGACGGGCGCTTGACATATATGAGCCTCCTGACAGGTTGGTTGCGGACTGCGGTTGGTGGCAGGCCGTGGCCAGGCGAAGTCAGTGAGGGGACCGGCCGTGTGCGGCTATGTGCGCACGTTAAACTTTGGATTCTAAATTCTGCCATAGAACTGGAATTGCGCGATCGGAGGGTAGAGGGCAGTGTCACCGCAACAAGCTTCGCTTAGCGGTGGCTCTGTCCTTGTAAATCCTTCCTATCAAAAGATTCGGACTAAATTTAAAAAAAAAAACTCAGAGATCCACTTTAGTATGTTTCCCCTGATTCCATATCCATGTAGTTTTGCCTTCAGTCTCTCATGCGGTCTGTGTCAAAGGCCTTGCGATAATCTAAGTATATCATTCCACTGTTCAATAATTTATTTTAAGTGTCCAATCGTCCGATCCTGATCAAATATGTGTGTTCGTAGGCCTGTTCTGTTATTGCTTTACCTGCCAAGACAGACAAACTTGAGAAAAATCGAGTGATTGTACCTTTTTTGAAGGTCTCTAACCAACTTGTCTGAAATTCACCGGAGAACAAATGTGGGGTTTAAAAAAAGGTGTCGATATCAGGCACACTTTACAGGCGAAAGGCGATATCACGTAGGGGAAGGAGGGTGAATTGCGCCACGTTAAGGAAAAACGCTAATTGCAAGAAAACCGCTGGAGATATAAGCATGCACTGTTAACCATTTCAAAGACGAGCTCATTTATCGGGGTTACATGAGCACAGTAAATACGTATTTAGCCGCTAATTCGAATTAGGAACGCATTACCGACTCATGTAGCCACCTGCTAGTACGAATTGGCGATCCGATCCGCGGTTACATGAGCAAAGCAAATACGTATCACGATCGGATTCACCGCTAATGCGAATCAGGAGCGTACTACCGACTCATGTATCCACCTGCTAATACGAATCGGCGGTCCAAACAAAATCCGCTGAGAAAGAGGCTTAGAAGCGAATAGGACCAAGATACGTATTACAGGAACTATTTCTTACCAAAAAGAAACATTAAAATGCAAAATAATAGGTATTTTTTTCATTTGCTTCTTTTGAAATAATTATTAAAAAAATATGTCGGTATTTTGTCAATAAATATAGTGCAAACCAAAAAGAAAATATCAAAGTACTTTCAGTTGAAACATTTTTCTGACAGCACTACAGACGAATCAAGAGAGGCAAGTGCTCAATGAGTCAAAACAAGACAACTTTATGTTTAACTTTTTTTTGTTAAGTTAATTGAGAATGTTTTGAGCAGATTAAATGCAAAAAAGACATAAGATATTAAGTTTTTAATTCAGTCACCTCTATTGCTACGGAAGTGCGCCACATTTGTATGCTATTTCGTTTGTAATGCGCATCGGGCCGAGAGCCAAACTAGATCCGTTTGACGTCACTGATACGAATTTGCTCATGTAGTCGGTGCACCGAATGCGTTCTTGGGGAGCTGATGCGAATTAGTGTAGTGCGTATTTGGGAACGGATCGCTCATGTAACCACCAGGCCTGAGGCACACGATTCGGGCCGTATTTCACAAGAACTATTCTTTGCTGACTGGAAGCGTCAAAATGCAAAATACTAAGCATTTTGTTATTGGCTGCCTCGTAGAAAATAGCAAAAAAATGTTGGTATTTTGGTTTAGTCTTTGCATGTGAAATAAAATGAATGAAATATTTTGATAGATAATTTTTTCTGACCACCCTGCTGTCGCTGCATGGCGAATCAGTGCCCACTGACTTAAAACAAGAAAACTTTGTTTTCATTTTTTGATTTCATGTTAATTTTAAATGTTTTTGAGCCTATCAAATGATAAAAGTATTTAAAATTTAGTTCAGTCGTCCCGGTAAATGCCGCAACTGCGCCATGACTGTACGCTAATCCTATTCCGTTTGTGATGCGAATTACCGGCCGTCGAGGAGTCAGCCCGGGTGAGCCAAACAAGATCCGTTTGACGTAGATAAAACGAATTAGTCTCATGTAACCGGTGCCGTAGATACGTTTGTGGGGAGCTGATGCGCATTAGCGTAGTGCGTATTTGGAACGGATCGCTCATGTAACCCCGGTAATTGGCTACAATTTAAGAGCCTCCCGATCAATTAAGAATGTTTCGTTTGCTTCTGACAGCTGCTTTTTCAGAAACATGCAAAAGGGCGCATTTGCCAACAACTGCTGCAAATTGTGCCAGGGGGATGGCGCAATTAGAACCCAATTGCGCCCTATACTTTAACATGGCTAAGTGAATGAGACGGGATGCATACACCCCGGCAGTCTAATGTCATTGCGGTTTACTTAAACATTTATAATGTTATTCAGGCTGGATGAATAATAAATGTAGATATAAATCGCGATGTTTTTTGCCCAGGTAGATAACTTTACATGTGTCCGTACGCTTGTAAAAGAGCAACGAAAACGTTTACTGTAACCGACTAGATATATGTGAACGTATGCGCCTATACAGTTAACTTTTCAATCGGTTCTTTCAAAATTAATAATTTTTATCGTTTTGACACCTTAATGACATCAGTTTTTACTTTTTTGTCATAGCTGTCACTTCTTACGCCTGAGTCCATATTGAAAATGTCGTATTTTGTCAATTACACCACAAGTCGTGGCCTAAATGGCAGCTGCATTATAAGTTTGACGAGAGAAATAATTTGCGGACTAACGACAGCGGGCTGCTCCCTTGCCCGACATTAAACTCCTTCTTTATTGCAATCAGTTAATGATGCATTCATACTGTCGTGATGCAATGGCTACACCATTATTCTATTTGCAGAGCTGGGCAAGTGCGTTCCTTTAGTGCGTTCCTGCGTTCTTCCGTACGTACGCACCGCCCTTTTTAGGAACGCAAGAACGCAGGAACGTAAAGTTTTTCAAAGGAACGCAAGTAAGAGGAACGCACCACCCGAAATTTTGAAGCGTTCCTGCGTTCTTGCGGAACCACCCGAAACATTATATTGCTGCCAATGACCTCTGTGTCAAATGTTTGAATCTCGAGTACGTGTGTTTGCCGGTAGAGGCGCCACTTGTCGGTCGAATCGAGGAAGGCTTGCTTAGATTTAGTGCTGATGTTTACTATTCGATTCGGTTTCAGGCATTAAATGTGTAAAGATTTTTAGAGGTGATGTTTACTATTCGATTCAGTTTCAGGCATTAAATGTGTAAAGTAAATATGATAACTTTTACTAAGATACATCTTTTAACTTAACTATTGTTTTTAAGCAGGTCGTATTTTTGTTGAAAACCCTACGGATGATATTGGTAAAACGTATTTCAGATATTCGATTCGGAAAAGAGATGTCGAGCTGCTTTTCGGCCCCACGTCGCCATTCTGGGTATTCTGTGATCGATTCGCCCCGTGTTTGGTTGGGCCCGCGCCGCGTGGTTCGGCGGTATTTTTGAGGGAGGAACGCAGGAACGCTAACGCACCGAGCGAAAAAAAATGAGGAACGCTATTCCAGGAACGCACTAACCGCGGCCGGAGGAACGAAGGAACGCTAACGCACTACCGAAAATCGAGGAACGCGCCCAGCTCTGTCTATTTGCGCCCCCTGGCGCAATTGCCATGGGCGCAATTAAAATTGAGGCACTTTTTAATAAAAGCATAGAAGTTATCATAAAGATGTTGCAGGAAGTTCACGGTTTCAGTGATATACAATGAAAAAGGGGTTTTTCTTTCTAAATATCACTCTGAAAATCACACAAATATCGTAAATTTTTATAGCCAACGGTTCAAAATGCTGCAAAAAAGTTAAGAAAACGCCATAACATCTTTGATGGCGTAATGAGCCTTGCTAATTGGCTTCATCGGAGTGTTTGGGCCATAAAATGAACAATGCAGTGGTGAAAATAATGTTTTCAAACACAAAATTCTAAACATGCCATTGAATCCGTGGGAATGTTGGTGGGCGCAATTGGTTAGGAGGGCGCAATACACCCACTTTCCCCTACACAGAGTGAAAAATCAGATCTAGCCACTGCCCACTGGAAGAAAATTACAATTTCCCAAAACCGGCCCATACCTCCCGGCTCCCGGGTCTCCCCTACTGGTATGGTTTACTTACCTTACAGGATAGCGCGCTGAGTGTGCTGGACTGCTCTGTTCTCTGTCCCCACTGGTGGTCATGTCAGGAATGATGCGTCAGGGCTCACTCAATGTCAGAGATAGCAGATCACGTCATACGTAACACTTGGGCGGATCGTTCAATATGACAAGGAACTATCATGCTTTGAGTCAGACGTACTCTTCCTGAGTATGTCACGTCCTGATATTGCAAAGATAGCTGTCACCAGTACAGTGACCGTAGAGGACGGAACTGATCCGGATCTGTTTGGAGCGTTCCTGTGCTGGGTTACACCGTGTTGACAGCTTCAGTTGCCGGGTACGCGCTGGCCGTGTCACTGCGGCGGGAGAGTGGTAGGCACTAGGCAGTCCGCGCGGCGGTAGGATACTGCGGGATGGCCATCGCTCTGCGCTGGTGAACGGGCGCGGCCGGACCAGTCTGGAGCAGAGGTATCGGTGATCGGTGTCTCACTGGTATATCGGCGTTGGAGCGAGCGAGGGAGTGTGGCTTTGGAAAAGCGTCGGTATGTACGCAGACTTCATTTATTCGACGTCAGCCTCGGCCAAACCAAGTGCGAGTCCTGTGATGTGTACATGTGACGATTGATATTTTATATTGACTTCAATTTTTTTTCAGGTACACCTTTGTCTTTCTTACGCCTTTGGAGAATGTCTGAAGCGCTAATGTCGAATGCTGTGAAATTTTCTTGTAGTCATGGCGCTTGAAATGACAAAGAGCCTCATCCGCTCCTGTGTTGTTTCTTCGAAGAAAGGACTGACAGTGCATCAGCTGGAGCGTGAGTACCGAGCGCCGAACCTATCAGAGTCACAATGTTGGGGAAATAAGGCCCTTTGCTGGTCCCAGTCGGGTCCAAACGATTTTGTTCTCCTTAACAAATTTATACTCCGGCCAATCCAGCCAGTGTGATGAAAAACTGCTATTATTACGCCTAAAACATGCATTTAAAGCATTGAGAGAACACATTTTATCACCTGTCACATTTAGTAGGCCAAACATATGATTTTCCTGTTCAGTGTTCTACAAGCTGGCCGGTTCTCCGGACAGATTTTATTCTCCGGGACCAGGACCAAAATTAACAATTTCAGAGATCATAATAATGGCCTGAGAGTTTCCGAAAGTATCCAAGAGTATCCAAGGCTTCGCTTTGCACCTTTCCCTCTATAGTTTTCGTTAGAACATATGCTCGAGGGTGCATTCCCGTGCATTAGCTCACGTTTGCAACATTGCATTGCCATGTTAACCCGCACATGACCGGTATTTTCCATAACGCGAGTGACAGAGCCCCCCCCCCCTTCTCCCTCCCATCTCTGAACTACCGAACTGATGTTCAAAATTCAAACGGTGGAAAACTGTTGAGCGAAACCTAATTTTATTGCCTTCGAGGTCACCGATGACGTTATAGGTCAGGTCAAAGTAAAAACTATCAATATTTTGGCTTGTTTTCAATCTGGGCTCAAGCCGCTGGCTAACATACCATATCAAGCTCATTTCTGGTTTACACACTCGTGAATATATTTGCTTAATTTACCCTGAGGGTACCGAGCAATTCAGGGCTGCGGAGTCGATGGATTTTCGGCGACTCCGACTCCGACTCCGACTCAGGCTTTCAAAAACCAGCTCCGACTCCGACTCCGACTCCGGGCAGAATTGTCGACTCCGACCGACTCCAGCTCCCGACTCCGACTCCGCAGACCTAGCAGGGCTGCGGAGTCGACAGATTTTTTGTGACTCCGACTTCGACTCGGGCTCGGGTTTCTAAAATCGACTCCGACTCCGACTCCGGTCACAACTGTCGACTCCGACCGACTCCGACTCCGACTCCGACTCCGACTCCGCAGCCCTGCCGAGCATGTACTTCAATTTTTTACAGGTGAAGACTAGGTCATCCTAGGCAGGGGGCGTCGAAGTCTAGTAGGAAAATCTGGCAATCCCCGGCGTGACGTAACGTCGGGGATGACCGACGGCACCTTGCACTGAAAGATACGGCAGAACGGCTATTTTTGAAAAATGATTAAAAATACTTTTGTGCTGTTATGACATATAAAACGCTTATCAGCATGTTCCTCATCATGTGATAAAGCCATATCCGTGGTCGAAAATAGCTGAGCCCCTCCCAATTTCCAACCACCGACCTCATAAGCAAAGGATGTAAGCGTAATCCTTAAGGGCGACTTTCCTATACATATCCGTACAAATGCGTCCTTATGGAAATCGGTAGTGTGGCGATTGGCGACGCGCGCGACATCTGTGTGGCGACCAAGTGGCGACTGTGGCGACACCTGGTGGCTGCTTTTCTGCTGTGTGAAGGCATTAGGTTTTGCCAGATATGGTTCCTACTGCTACACAACTATGTTGACCCAATACTAGAAAGTTATTTTGCCAGTAAAAGGCAAGCAAATTGAAAGTCAATTTATAAAATTGCTTATAAATGATAACGAGAAAATAATAAAGAAGTTTTGATTGAAGAGTTATTAAAATACCCAACCGTGAAACTATATTCTGGTAGGTTTAGTAGAAAATAGTCCGTGCAACCTTGTATTTAGGGCCTTGATCCTAGGCAAATCCTAGGTCATGGAAATTTTACATGCATCAGTCACGTGAGACATGTTTTATGGTCCTTTTCGGTGATAGATTTTGATATCAGCGTTGTCTGTGTCATCTGAGGCCATTTTCAAATGCCATTGCCAAATTCAAAATACCTAGGCAGTTTACAAACTGCCTGACCGACCAGGCATTTTGCAAACTGCCTGAAATTATTTTCCTAAGGCAGTTTGTGAAATGTCTGACATCGAACGCACACCAGGGATGATGACTAAGCATCATTGTAACTGCCATTTAACCCGCGCCATGGTGGAGTCTGTTTATAACGCGACCTGGACAGGTTCGTTATATCTCCGAATCGACTGGACGGATCCACAAAATTCAAACGGCGCTCGAAAGCCCTGTCAAATTTGTAGAGGGAAATCCAATTTCATTGACCTCGGGGTCGCCGATAACGTCACAGGATAAGTCAAAGATAAAATGTTTTGCCGGTCAGGGGTCTTCTAGGGAATGGGCTATAACATCGAGTAAAACGCATTTTATCGAAAATCAGCGATAGGGTGTCAGTTGCCTAGTTAGTACATATATTGTTATAAGAGGTCATAGGTCAGGTCACCAAGGGTCAGCACATGAACCCAATTTTACTAGGATGTTTTATGGCCAATTTTTCATTTAAAACTCAATGCTGTTGGTTATAAGAGCATCAGGAATGGTTAAGGTCACTTCCTGGTGGAGGTCAGGTCATTGTCAGGTCAAAAAGGTCAAATTTCAAAGCTGATATTTTTGCATAAAATGGGTAGGTATCGATTCCATACAGCTCGTCACGGCGAGTCTAATGGTGGTCTTTGTTTTGCGCTACGCGGTCTAGAATTGCTGAAAGTTGAGCTGGAAAATTGGTCATCAATTTTGAACAGTTTTTTCGCTATAACTTGGCCAAAAAAAAAAACGGTATCGATCTAACATTTGGCATGTGAATAGAAGTCAGTAGGGGCTGTCACGTATATTCGTTTTTTTCGAAAATCGAAAAAAAACTTTTTTCGGATTTTTCTTTTTGTTTATATTCAATTTTTTTTGGGGGGGAGGGGTTAAAAATTCGAAAAATTTAAATGTTTTGTAGCACTGGTAATTCTACACCTTTCATATCTTGAACGTTTTTATGTATCTTCAAAGCTATAGGCCTGACAGCTCCCCCAGCTCTTCTCTTCCCTCTTCCCGTTTCTTGGGTCGTAAACGATAGAACATGACGTCACTCTGACGTCATTTGCGGCCGACCTATGGTGGTTATGAAATGTTTATTCGTGCACAAGGTGTCAAACTGATCAGCCGAAGGTACCTACTTAAAGTTTGTTTTTGTTGATACGTTTAGCGGTTAGAAGATATTGCAGAAAAAAATGGGAGGGGCTCCCATTTTTAGAGCTCCCTCCCCCCCCCACACTTCAGTCATGCGCGGGTTAACCCGCGCCCCGTTTGGCTTTTGGCGGACCTTGCCACCCCTTGTGGACCGTTTTGGCCCCTCCCTCGGGATGTCGGAAAGTTACCGACCGATTTTCAAAATTTAGGTACACGGCATTCGATAGGCCCACCGGTTTGCTACCATGTGACCCAATGTCATTGACCCAGGTGCAACGGATGACGTCACAGGTCAGGTCAAAGGTAGCATTTTAAACGTTTACAGGTTTTCTAAGGAATGCGTTATAACATTTAATAAAAGGCATATTATTGAAAATCATTGATGAAGCGTTCTTTGTTTAATACGTATGTTGCTGAATGAGGTCACTGATACCAGGTCAGATCAGAGGTCAGGTCACTCAAGGTCACAATATGAACCCAACTATATGTATAGTCGACTACAGAATGATGCTCCACTTTTCACAGGCAATTATTTGCCTGGAGTGGTAGGCTGTGCCGCATCACACGGGCTGAGTTCACAAATTATAGCTTTGTCCCAGACTCACAATGCTCACAATCGACACGCTTAATTGCGTGATAAACGGCACAACTTAGCGCTCCGGTCAACTGATAGCTTCTAAGGAGTGGAACATCATTCTGTAGTCGACTATACTAGGGGCGTGTGATGCATGTTTCATGGCCAATTTTACATATCAAGTCCAATGATGTGGGTTAGGCCCATTGGGGCCAGTTTCAGTTACGTTCTGGACTCTGGTGGAGGTAAGGTTAGGTTGAGGTCAGGTAAAAAGGGTCAGATTTCAACGTTGACATTTTGCGTAAAAAGATCATCTATTCGATGCAGCTCGCCACGGGGAATCCACTGGTAGTCTTATCTTTGCGATACCTAGTCTACAACGGCTAAGCATTGAGTTCGTAAATTTTTCTTCATCGATTTAAATAATTTTTTTCGCCATACCTTTGCAAAGAAAATGAAGGCATCGATCTCAAATTTGGTACCTGTTTTGATGGAATACTTAAGGGGGTAAGGTAAAACATATACCTATTCATTTTTTCGAAATTGAAATTTTTGGGACTTTGTGGGTGTTATTTCCAAAAATATACTTTTTTGAATTTTGGAGCACAAATCCAAAATTTTCCCAAACTCCGAGATAGCAGTTTTGTAGCCCTGTTAACCTTTAACCGAGTGGGGGGAGGGTCGTTTTTCGCCACACCTGCCAGTTTTTTGCGTGTGTAAAGAAAACCGCAACGCGCAGCGGCGCAGCGGCGCAGTTGGTATACCTTATGATGCATCAATTTCGCATCGTGTGTAAAAATTTTGACCACAGGTCACCAGGTCAAGTTACGTAACCATGCCTCTAAAAAAAAAAAAAACTTTGTGATTCATTCATTCCTACAACTGACATCCCAGAACTTTGAACCTCTTGCTATTGCATGGGGCACAGACTTCTCTATATATGGACTGTGCGCTGATCCGAGGAAATCAGCATTGGAGGCCCAAAAATAAGTGCACTTTTATCCATCTTTTTACAATGAAAAGGGTGTCAGAATCTTTACAAATTTGGATATAGGATAGCCCATACTTTTATCTACCTGTCGGATTACATTTTTTTGTTGAATTCAAAATAAATAAGAAATAAATGTTTAAAAATGAGAACATGTTTTCTCGTTCAGTTAGCCCTTTGTTCACGCTGGAGGTATATACTTCACAAATGCAGCCGTACTTTGCGCGCATTTTCTTGCTTTTGAATGTTGGTTGCATTGTTGGTTGTTGCTAATTTTTCGGAACTAGTCATTTACGTTGGTTTTGAAAAGGGTTTTGAGAAA